GTGATAGGAATATATTTTGTTTTGTTTGCTGTTTAACGCCGCACTCAGCAATATTCCAGCTATATGACATCGGTTTGTAACTAATCGAGTCTGGACCAGACAATCAAGTGATTGATATCATGAGCATCAATCCATGCAATTGAGATCGATGACATGCATCATCCAAGCCAGCGAGCCTAACCACCCGATCCCGTTAGTCGCTTCCTACGTGATAGGAATATGATAATTGTAGCAAAAAGATTTCTTTGTAGGAAAAGATAATGGGAATCAACAAACAATAATACTGTCACATATTTAACACAAGCTAAGTAGATTCTGTTTATCAATTTGGGTCAGTGAAATTGGTATTTTTTATCTTTTGTTATGGACTTAGAACTGGTATGCTTTCGAAGCTACTTCCTGTATGAATTATGTAAGAAACAAAAATGTTTGTTAATGTGTCCTCGTTACTATTTTGAAAAACATTTTGATCACATAATGAAGAGGGTATCAAATACTAATGCAGTACTATACTGTATTAAGATTAATTAAAAAAGATTGACTCCACATGGGTACTATAGCCAACAAGGTGCAAGGACCATTTCTGGTGTCCCCCTCCGTTATCTTGCTGGAATATTGCTAAAAGCACTGTAAAATCCATCTCACTCATCACTCAAAACAACTGAAAATTATATTAAAGAAATATCAATTTGGAACAGATATAGCAAATAAAAGAATATAATCTTGAAAAAACAATCTAACCCTACAAATCACCCAACATTAAAATTTGAACTTCCCTCAATATTCTGTCAGTAGGACAATGTAGGGTCCAACCACGGCTAGGACAATTGTCAATTCTACTGGATGTCATTGTTCCGTGATCAAAATGTCAAGAACAAGATATAAAACATACATATATTTTGATTGAAACATTACATTGTTCAATATTGACATACACAACATAAATCCTGTAACCTTATAGGTTCATTGAAAGGCCAAAGCTTTATCAGGGGCTGTCGGACACCAGACAAATGTCATGAGACAGACAAGAATTATTTGGGAGACAAGAGAAGGCCTCAACAACTGGTTACCAAGTAGTAATACTCTTTTGAAAATCTGGTCAAACTCAACCAGAGGCTAATAAACATGACAAACTGTGTGGGCATTTCAACATACTAAAGCTATTATCACACAAAGACTGAAGTTTTAGTAATCTTGGTGACAAACTCGGTACTACTAAAAGTCGGGAACAATCAAGTGAGGATGACAACAGTATTACAGTTGTTTATCATCCAAAAGATAAATGACATGGGTGAGATCAAGCGATATCTCCAAGGAGACATTGCTTTCATGAAATTGCATCACAATGCTTTGCAGACCATTGTAACATCGGATTCCATGACATCGCAATGAAATGACATCACTTATCTCTCTGCCTCTGAAGCTACTTGGCTTTACTTTTTAGACTCAAATGAAATCAACACTCCTCGATAAATGTTAAAAACTCCTCTGCAAGCTTCAGAGTTTTAAATTTTATCAACTCATGTTAATATTTGCTATCAAAAGAGACATAGATGAGATTCTCCATATAACAAGTTGTCAGCATAATGTGGACAAAAGACCACAGTTGATTACAACCCACAGGCATGGACATGTTGCTGACCAAGGTGAATAACCAGGGAAACTCTCTGATTTTGATCGATAAGCAGGGGATAAAGGCAGATAAGGGGTGCTATTAGTGGGTCTTAGATTCTCAAACAACAAATGTGATGTATCTGGAATAGGTAGGCAGCTATTGTATGGTTGAAGACTGGATGGAGTATTGTGTAGGATATTTGTAATTGGTAGTCCATCCGTTGAAGCATGCTCAAAGCGCTAATACCATTATTACCCCGGTCAATAGATCAGTGTGCACTTCATTTTCTTTCTCAGTTCCCTGGGGAGTGTACAACGCAACCTGCCTGTGAGGTGCTAGAAGGTTAACAGCTACACTACCATCTCATCCTACCAGGTACCAATTCACAGTTCGGTGAACAGAGGTATTTTCAAACAAAGTCACTCAAAGCTCAAAGCACTCAATGTGTGGGCCAGGACATGAAGCCCTAGAAACTCTAGGAGTCAAGGTGCCGACCAAGGTCACCCATCCAACTATATTGTGCACAGGACCACGTTCCACCAATATCATGTTAGGGACACAAAGAATGGACTTCACAAATTGTAACCTTGTTCTGAATTGAATCCAGGTCTTTAGCATAACAGGCCAGCACATTAACCACATGGTTATTCCATTAGAGTCATTCAACTCTCAAATAGCATGAATTATAGAGGAAGAAAGAGGCAATAATCTCATTTATATTTGGCCAATCTGAAATCTAGTTAATATAGTGCAGTACAAAATCTGCTTTGGTAATAGCTAATACCATATTTTACCAATGAAGCAACAGTGTTGCCAAACATAACACAGCCATTATGACCATCCATTCCTCATGCTAATCAGCCAAAGTGTAGTAGCATGAAGCAACAGTGTTGCCAAACATAGCACAGCCATTGTGACCATTCATTCCTCATGCTAAGCAGCCATAGTGTAGAAGCATGAAGCAGCTGGTTGCCAAACATAGCACAGCCATTATGACCATCCAATCTTCATACTAATCAGCCATAGTGTAGTAGCATGAAGCAACATTGTTGCCAAACATAGCACAGCCACTGTGACCATCCATTCCTCATGCCAATCAGCCATAGTGTAGTAGCATGGAGCAGCTGTGTTGCCAAACATAGCACAGCCATTATGACCATCCAATCCTCATATTAATCAGATGCAGTGTAGTAGCATGAAGCAGCTGCGTTGCAAAACATAGCACAGCCAATATGACCATCCAGTCCTCATGCTAATCAGCCATAGTGCAGTAGCCGTTATGACCATCCAATCCTCATGCTAATCAGCCATAGTGTAGTAGCATGAAGCAACATTGTTGCCAAACAGAGCACAGCCATAATGACAATCCAATCCTCATGCTAATCAGCCATAGTGTAGTAGCATGAAGCAACATTGTTGCCAAACAGAGCACAGCCACTGTGACCATCCATTCCTCATGCTAATCAGCCATAGTGTAGTAGCATGAAGCAACATTGTTGCCAAACAGAGCACAGCCATAATGACCATCCAATCTTCATGCTAATCAGCCATAGTGTAGTAGCATGAAGCAGCCGTGTTGCACAGCCATTATGACCATCAAATCCTCATGTTAATCAGATGCAGTGTAGTAGCATGAAACAACAGTGTTGGCAAACATAGGCACAGCCACATTAAATCCTCATGCTAATAAGCCATAGTTTAGTGGTGTGGAAGAATCAGTGTTGCCAAACACAGCCATTGTGACCATCTAATCCTCATCATCATAATTATTATTATTGAATCCATGGACCATTGCCACCCAGTCACGCATACCAGTGGCCCTATCTGAGGCACTTGTACTCATAATGTGAGACCCATCTCACATGCACATTACGATCCCAACACATTACTTATTGGCATCTGTCTGTTGGACCAGCTGTTTTGTTGAATCCTGTAACACTCTAAATTTTAATGATTATTCATTAAAAGTTCTCTGCAAGGATGACAACCAAAGTTAAAGTTTCAGGGGGAGCAACATGAACATAAAAATCATGAAATCATGATTAAACTTGAAATAAGCAGGATCTAGAGATGGAACTGGGCCTGTAATAACTCTGAACTCAGAGGCCTGGCCATGAGAACTTAATATCTGATATATAAACATTGTAACAAAGTTATCACAGTCATATTGCACAGTTCAAATATCCATGTACATCACATTGAAGGCAATCACATAGAAACAGATCAGGAAAACTGTACTTTTCTACACAATCTCCATGATCAATATGAATAAAACAATCATTCAACATATATGAATAAATCCTTTAAATTTACAATTGGAAAACATTAGGTTAGATTCCTTCCCATCAAATTGGTTCAATATCCTAGAGACACACCCTGAAATTGAAATAGTTGCAGAGTATTTATGTATACATGGAATATATCATGATCTATGCTGGTAATACAATACTAAACTCTCGATCTCAGTGAGAAAGACTAAGATATGTTTCAACGTGTTCAACAGGAAAGATTCATGCTTCAAGTGCCATCCTAGTCAATGTTAAGATTAATACTGTAAATCGTGAAATTAATAAGTCTCAAAAAGAATGCGACTGCTTGCCCCTAGGCAAAAATGCAACTCAATATGAATACGACACCCCCCTCCTCTTACTTACTTACTTACTTTGGAGATTTAACGTGCGCTTTCCGACTGATGCGTATTTCGCACACGGGCCCGGCCCCCTCCTCTCAGGCATCAGTGGATTTATATCTAAAGAAAATGTCCTCTGTCAGGTTTTCAGGAGAATCCTCACCTTAATCCAACCTTACATTAATCCAATCACACACCAAATAGCACCGCTTATTAGCGCTGAGTAGAGTACTTTCGCTAAAACAATACATGCACATTGGCTCGTGTCGGCCTCTAACGAAGTCGCAAAGAACAAAGACACCATGTTGCGTGGGTGGCGTCTGTCTGGACTTGCAGGTGTGATCAGTGATCCCATAAGTGAGTAGAACTCTTGTCTTGATCTGAGCAGTGACAATTCACAGGATGTAATTAGTGTTTGAATGACATTGTTCATATACTTGTTACAAGTGCTGTTCAATAAACAGTGATGTGGAATACATAGTTGTTTGTTTGTTTTCAGCCTATGTCTAAGTTGGTATTTCTGATATCCAGTGTGAGTGAGTTTGGGTTAACGCCGCTTTTAACATTATTCCAGTTATATGACGGCGTGTCAGTTTAATGTGGGAGGAAAGCCCAAAGTGATGCAGGTCTCAGACGTTTACCACTTCGGTGAAACCCATGAGCACGGGTATGGTGCTGACAAACCTAGAAACATAATCGGGGCGAAACGTTCTGATATCCAAAATGTCTTATTGTTGATATATATGCGATGTTTAATAATACAAGCAAAGGTCACTCGCATTTTTCGCATTTAATTCACGCTCGCGGAAATTTCAAGATTTACAGTACATGCAACTAACTGGTAACCATGGTAACAGTTGATTTCAATAAAACATCACAAGAGCAACCAAATCACAGGCACTAACACATGATCAACAAATTATAAAAAACATTATTATAAAAGTATTAAAACCTATTATTATGATCATTCCATAGACCTCTTCTAACTTGAAAAACCAATTGTAGATTTTTAAAACTGTTGGATCATCACTGATTACATAAGATATTTACATTTTCTAGTTTGAAAAACATGTGCAGCTTTTTAATCAGCGTGATCATTCAGTTACTTTCACATTTCACATCACACAAAATGAGAACCATCTTATTTCTGACCCAAATTAGAAAACAAATATTAACTTGTCATTAATTACAAGGGTTAGGGTCAGAGGTTTTTGATGCACTAATGTACTGAAAACAATGACCCTCCCTTAATTCTTGTCATATTCTGGATGAACCTAATGTTCTTGACCTTGTACATTTTTTTCATGAACCTCTCTGAAAAGACAAATGCAAAAGCACTATATACACCGTACTTTATTATATAATGTCAATTTTTTTATGAACCTCCCCAAAATGTGTATTAGTTTCATGACACACACCCACCTCCTAGAAACTGTCATATTTTTGGGTACCCTTCCCCATTCCCTCTGACCCACCCCTGCCCCATATCATAAGTGACCGGATCCTTATTCCGTCTGAATTCAATCTACAGCCTGACTGATTCAAAGAAACCAAAACCAAAATTAATTCATTACCCACTGTTATATATAATCAATTCTTCATTCAACCCACTTTGTGAAATGTTTTCCCAAAGAACATGTTTTGACAATGATTATCTTAATACAAGGTAAACAAAAACAATTGCCATATTTTTATTAGACCAACACTTCAACAAAACGTTTTTCAACCCTAAATTAATGTGGAACATAAAAATCTAAAAAACACATTAACACAAATACATTAAGTGGTACTGAGAATACCCACTTGTCTCTTGTTAATGTATCACAGACATCCCCATCCAATATGAATGATCCAATATGCTTGTGTCAATCTTACAAACCTATGCCACATTCAGCTCACGAGAGTCCCACGAGACAGGTCCGGGCTTTACATCAAATAAACATCAACTATCATTATCATTGCAGTGAAAATGTCATAATATCACAAAATCCTCAGACTCGATTGTTGGAGATCGGACATTTCCCTGACGATCTACACGATAATGGCGGATTCTGAGACGGCCTTGTTCCTGATAAGGCATATCATCAATGCCAAGGTCAGAGCTGCGACCCTCGGAGAAGATAAAGAGCGGGTATAGGCCTTTCTGACGAGGCGGTATCACTATCTGAAACACAAACCTTCCATTAGTTGTTTGTTTGTTTGTCTGTTTGTTTTTTAACACCCCACTCAGCTATATTCATATTTCTATATTAGCTGATAACACTCTGGAAATAATAAACACTGGACCAGACAATCCAGTGATTGACATCATGAGCATCAATCCACACAATTGGGATACGATGACATGCATCCACCAAGTTGGTGAGCCTGACCACCCGATCCCATTAGTCACCTCTTACAACAAGCATTGTCGCCTTCTACGAGCATTTTCCCGAGGCAAGAGAGTTAACTGACTTTAAAAGTCCAGTTTCAACCCTTGCCGAACTTGGCTGGAATTCCTGGGCGCGATCGTAGCGCCACCAGTGGCTATTACGAGTTATGTCCTTTCTATGCCTCTCCTATTGACCAATCAGATTCAACCTCTCGTATCACTTGCATTTGCTTCAAACAAAACGGTGGCGCCCAGTCAAGATGATCTGATCGATAAACAAGATCTATATTGTGATAAAACGAGTCTTACATCGCGAAGTGCATCAAATCACGTGAGCACCTTGATTAAAAACATGAAAAGATTTAGAAAATATCTGTTGACAACGAGTTAGCAGTGCACATGCTTTGCAAATCCTGCAGTAAACCGAAATCTGCATGACACTTTACGAACCAGATTTCGATTTTTGGTGCGAGATTTTGATTGGACTATGCATAGACTCGTTAGTCCAGCCAAAATGTAACTAGATAATACCAGCCTAGTTCGGCAAGGTTGGAAACTGGACTTTCATAGTCAGTTTACTCACTTGCCTCAGGAGGATGTCTATGAGAAGCTGAAGACCTATTCTAACCCAGATCATCTTCATGGTAGGGGTAGTTGTGAGTGAGTGAATGTCGTTTTACACGGCACCAATATTATATTTGTTTGTGTCAGTCATGTACCAGCTGTATGATCATGATGATGGCAGCTTGGAAATATTTGGATCTTGGTCAGAACAAAAAACAGGGAGTAAAACAGTACTTTCATGTGTGACAGTGGCAAAAACACTTGATCCCATTCCCTGGTGCAGTTTTACCACTGTATTAAAAAACATTTAAAAAGTGTGTTATCTTAGTGTGTACATTCATCATGATCATGAGGAAAAAATACAAATTAAACAGAAAAAAATGTTTAAATGTTACAAATCGAACATAAAAAACACAAGATCACGATGATAAACCTCTTTGTTCTTAATGTAGCATCAATCTGGATAACTTGTCAGCCATATCAGCATCTTAACTTGATAAGAAATAAACGACGATGACTCTTGCCTTTTTAATGCTTTTCATGAATCAGTTGTAAGGCACCGTATAATGCACAGGATGTATCTTACAACATGACGAAATGAATATCAAACTATTAACAATTATTCTACATATTTGATCGTGTTTTTCCCACACTAACGCTAATAAAATCATTCTACCATGAGCTTAAATGTGGGTCAATGGACATAGACGACACTGCAATCAATCCTCATTTTCACTACAGTTCAGTTGTACCATGACTGGAGTCCAATTGATTAAAAAACATATTTTTTTAAAATGTCAATTATTGTTTATTGTTTTTTCAATCCACATTATCACTTCCCACAACAGTTCAGCTAGACCAGAATCAATATCCCCAAAATGATTTTCTAAAAAATAAATTAAAAATATTATTTTCAAGAAATTGTTTTTCTCACATGACATGCATGATTTGGTATCTTCAGAATGAATGAAAATTCCCAGGGACAGATTTCTAATAAAAAAATAATAATAATTGACATGATTGTTGTTAGATATATTATTAGAATCTACATAATAAATTAATAATCATAATAAAATAACAGACGGATCCAGTTTATCATGAAACAGGTGAACCACATCTGGAGATAATTAAATCAATTACACATGTGATTTTTGTAACTAATTACTGGTAGTTTGGTTCAGTTGAAATACAAACAAATAAGTGTAACTCAATATTTTTTATTCTATTTTGCATGAAATTGATTGGATTGAAAAAATGCAATTCTGAATAAAAATGATAGACATGATCAAGTGGAGGATGTTTGGTATTCATAAGTTTTGTCAAAACAATGTTCCCAAGAAACTTACATACAATGCTTTCGATAAATTCTTATTCAAAATGTTAATCGCTAATCAGATTACATTTTTGTAGGCGTATCATTTCAAATTCTAATCCATCAAAGATAGACATGTCATGGAATAATAAAACTTCAAGCTATTTTTACGCCATTTCTTGATGGATTTGGTTGCAATCAGTCAATATCTGTAAACCGAATAGTATAACAGTCCCCCAAGTATGGTGTAGAACATTACAAGATACCTCGCATTAACAATGCTTCAGAAGCGATAATGCTGATTTAACCCACAATCATCTCTTTGACAGTTGGTGGATATGTGAGATTAAGTGAAAGACTTTTCTAAGTGTGTCTGTCATTGGTTGTCAATAAAGATGTACATAGCCCTCATAAACATGTCTGTTCTGGGCACTGGCAATGAAGTATTAGGCTTTCACAAAAAGTGTTGGTTCTCAGGCACCGCTACATCATAAACAAGAGTCATCTGAAGATGACATATCCCCCCGATGTGGCATGTCGGTAAACTGTGTGTACCTTCAAATGTATTTAGATTGGCAAGGAAATCTTTTTCCTTGATGCCAAAACCAGAAATATAATGAAGGTTATTAAATATTGGTTCATGTAGCTCACTTTCTGATGATCTCATGAAATTGTAATAACAATAACTTCGCAGATTCGCATATGAATAGCTCTGTAGTAGCCTCATGACACACAAAGGCATAAAGAGAATGTACTAGGTTATGTAGCTCACATCATATATAGTATATGATATCAGTAAATAGTACACCTTAGAATTATATGTCAGGGGCTACAAATTAAAAAGATTAAAATCTATAAATAACAAACTGCACTACTAGTGAACATGTGAACATGATTGATATGTGCATAAAGTTTGGTGAAACTCTGTCGCAAGGTTTAGAAGATATGCTCCATCAATTTTCAATTTAAATTGAAAAAAAAAAAAAAGAAACATCTGTTATTAGCAAAGGCACAACTACATAACCTGCTTGATAGGTGTAAAAACTTTTGAGAAGCTAAGTTGTATGGTTCAGGAGATATGGTCCAGACAAGAGCACTACCCTCAAATTTCCTAAGTTCATCATATTTCCATGGAAACGACAAAAATGTAAAATTCTAAAAATCCCTAAATAGCAAAAGGCACTACTACTGAGCCTGATTGGTAAAGTGTGGCAAGTTTTGTGAAGCTAGGTTGTACGGTTTAGGAAATCTGCTCCGGACAAACAATGATTACAGATGGACAGACGGACAGACGGACGGACAGACAGACAGACAGACAGACATACTGATGGCTATATCCCCCCATCATTATATGTCGGGGGGGGGGGATAAAAAAGTCACATTTCGTTTTAATTTTTTTTTTTTTTCAAATTACCTCCAACTCATGATCCTGGCTCTCTAAAACATGTAAAAAGAACATGATCCAAAATAGCATGCAGTTATTTCCCTTCACATCCACTCTGGTTTACTGTGCATCACGTGTCATGATGATGGTGGTTGTAGGAGTTTATGTGCTTGTTTTGTCGTTTGCAAACTTGGCCAGTGAAAATTCACAAATTCACTAGTATTTATTTCCTGAGTTCTAGGCATTGTTTAATACTTAATATGTGGGTAATTGTCTAAATATGACGGAAATTGCAATCAGCTGTATACACATTTTCCCCTGACCTATGCGTAGTATATGATAACTGAAAAGAATTTTTGAAGCAATGTTAGGTAAACACTTTTATTTTGTTACATACTAGTTTGGACAACCCCTCCACTCCACCCAGAAAAGTTGTTGCCTGAGAACAGATTTTTAATTTCATTTTCAACCTTAACATTGTCATTTTCTGAAGCCTCATCACGATGCTACTGGCAGGTTTCAGTAATACTCAGCGGAATACTAAAACCTCCTATTTCCCTGATGCCATTCAGCGAATTATCACAATGACATCCGTGCCCAAATATCAAATCAACATGATCAATGACAACAGTGTCTTGAATAAATACTGAAGCCTCATCACTGACCAAGCCAATAACAAGCACACTCGACTTGAACAAGATTGACATACTTACAACTGTCTCATTGGCAAGCTGTACATTGTCACTTTCAAAATGTCATGAGTTGTGTTGTCGTTTAACATGATTAACACCTAAAGGATGCCCAGATTCCAGCGATATGACAGCTGCCTGTAAATCATCCAGTCTGTACATACCAATCCATTGATTGACACTATGAGCAATGCCCCATAATGACATACTATCAACCAAGGTATGACGGCGGCCTGTGAATCATCCAGTCTGTACATACCAATCCATTGATTGACACTATGAGCAATGCCCCACAATGACATACTATCAACCAAGGTATGACGGCGGCCTGTGAATCATCCAGTCTGTACATACCAATCCATTGATTGACATTATGAGCAATGCCCGACAATGACATACTATCAACCAAGGTATGACGGCGGCCTGTGAATCATCCAGTCTGTACATGACAATCGACAGATTGACATTACAAGCAACTTCAATGATGACACATTATCATTTGTGTGAAACCCTATGTTTTTTAATCAATTGAAGTGGGTATTGGTACACTGCAATACGACAAACAAATTACATACATATACGTAGACAGACTTTGGATCATAGCCTGCAGAAAGAGTTATCATCCTGAAACCACTTTCGTAGTGTTGGTCATTTGAGTGCCCTTTCACCGCAACCTTCCTGACACTGACCGATTGGGCCGGCCATAATATTGATTATAACATCTGTGAGTTACAAAAACTCAATCAACATTCATCATCCGGAAACTACTTTCACACCAGTGATATAGACTTTTTGATGTTTTGGGTTCAAGTCTTTAATCTTATTGACGAAACAGTGCGCACAAACACATCCAGGCTGGTCGGTCATGATTTTAGTGAAAAGTTGTTGTTTTTTGTGGAAATTGTGAATGTTAAGGTAGTTGGGATTATTAAAGAGCATGTTTCCAAGCATTATTGCATACCAGAAAAACACCTTATTTGAACAGTCAATGAGACAGTAATGAGACATCAAGATTTCCCACCAGTGGATATCATTTAGGATCCACTGGTGCAGACAACATGTACAATGGGTTGAGGGGGGTGGGGATGGGGTTGGGGTGGGGGCTGGGGGTAGAGGGGGTATGGTCCAGGTATTGGAATGCTAATTCTGTGTGTTACCGAGATGAGATTATTCAGGCTGTGTATCCCTTCTGTTCCTCAACCAACATTGGTCTGTCATGACCATTTGCAACAAAATCATGTAAATGTATTGCCATGACCCACCAGTACACCAGATCTTTCCCCTACAGAGCACATATGGTACAATATGGAGCCACGTTTTCAAAGTTACCCAGTCTGTCAAATGTGCAGCAGGAATTGCAGAAACCTCTTGTCCCGATCTGGAATAATATTCCACTGGCATGAATTGAACATTTAATTGCCTCAGCAAGACACAGATGTTTGCCTGCATTGAAGTACATGGTGGGCATTCACAGTGCTGACCTATCACAAGACAGTTTTGGGTTTCCATATTGTTGTTCAAATCATGCCTTGCAGACAAGACAACACATCTTTAATGTAATGATTCTGGTTGCAATGCTTTCTCAATCTTCCAAATGTGTTTATGGCTCCAGCAGTTTCAGGTATTGAAGATTGTCAAAATAACTTATGTTGCCGAGTACCATCTTCCAGAAGCAAGGGTGTTAACTGACTATAAAAAGTCCTGTTAGTCTCTGCATAGTCCAATCAAATCGCATAATGAAATCGACATCCTTCTCGTAAACGACATTGCAACAGCCGTGCAGATTACGGTCATTTGCAGGATTTGCAATGCATCTGTACCATCAACAGGGCATCTAGGGGGAGGGGGGGGGGGGAGGTTGTCTATAACATACAACATTTGGTATTCAAAATTTGTTTTGTTTTTATCACCTGGGTACTGCCCTGTCATCAAGTATCGCCAACAGCCATCCAAGACATTTTTTCCTTGACACCATCAAGAGGTGGGCAGTGGAGTTCACAGGGGAAGAGAGGGCCTCAAAAATGAGAGCCAGGTAGACCTTTAACTGCCACCACTATGGAAAATGTTGATACACTACATGATGTGATTATGGGTGATCAACAAAACTCACCACACGTCACATTGCCAATACACTCTGCATTTCTCAAGAGAGAGGTGAGAACATTCTGAGGAATGAACAGGGCATGTCCATAATGACAGCAAGCTGGGTTCCAAAACTTCTGACTCCCGATCAAAAACGCTCCAGGTTCATCATCTCTCATGAGAATTTACATCATTTTGAAGCAGACCCTGCTAATTTGGTTGAGCGATTTGTATTTATGGGTCTTGTGTTCAACACTATCAGCCGGGGACTAACAGTCAAAGCAGCAGAACCATTTATCCTCCTCTGAAGAAGGCAAAGTCTGTTCCATCAGCTGGCAAGGTGACAACTTCGGTTTTCTTGAATCCTATTAGTGAACTACATTCCAAAAGGCCGGACTACTAATATGATCCAGTACAATGCTGTGTAACTGCTATTTCTTCTGTTGCAGAGATGCCCTGATCAAGGCCAATAGCAGCCTGCCAGTCCTCAATGATGTGTGTATATATGTGGCACAAGACTGTACAGGTAGGCCACTCTTGAACACTGTTTTGTTTTTGTTCGTTTGTTGTTTAACGCCCCACTCAGCAATATTCCAGCTATATGATGAATAATCGAGTCTGGACCAGACAATTCAGTGATTAATGTCATGAGCATCGATTCACGCCATTGGGATCGATGACATGCATCAACCAAGTGAGTGAGTGAGTGAGTGAGTGAGTGAGTGAGTGAGTGAGTGAGTGAGTGAGTGAGTGTGTGGTTTTGCGCCCCTTTTAGCAATATTCCAGCAACATCACGGCAGGGGACACCAGAAATGGGCTTCACACATTGTACCCACGTCGGGAATCGAACCCGGGTCTTCAGCATGACAAGCATACGCTTTAACCACTAGGCTACCCAACTGCTCCGAATGAGTAAGTGAGTGAGCTGGATTTAATGACTTGGTTCTCAAGCAATAGCTTTTGAAAATATTGTGCGCCTTTTTTCTTCTTCTTTTTCAGGTTGTGTACAAACGAGTAAGAATCCAAATCCTTATAATTATATCACTGTGTATAAGGCAAGGTAGGCGGGGTCATCAGATACACAGGGTTGAAGAGGTTTTTAAAGGTTTTTTCCCCCAACACAATCACATAACTGTGAGCACGTAACACCGGAAATACCATGACAGCAAATCCGTGCTGAAGTACCGGTACACAAATTAATCATGTTATTACACTCTCTGGTTGTAAAAAGAGTTCATAATATTTCTGGATTTATGTTTGTAATCTATTTTATTTATTTTATTCAACATATCATTCAATATTGTTTCAATTCATTTCGGCGAAATTGTATGTGAAGTGATCGGAAGATCGCACAACTCACCATTATTTATCACAAACATGGACACATTACCGCTATTGACGCCTTGAAACGAACTTTACTGGATAGAGAATGGATATATATATATATCATAAATGCCATACACTGAATCGCTGAAAGTCATATTTGTTGTAGTTTGACTATTTTATGTCAACATAAAGTTTTTGCAAGGATGGCCACAGGAGCATTGACGGTGATTGGTCAATTTCTTCCATACGAAAATATATCTGACAATAGCGATAAGCTGAACCAAAGTGCTACGCTTATGGTTATTTATTTATTTCACATGTATATAGTAAAGCTACAGCTTACATGATATTGGAATAAATTATTTCTGATAAAATAATAGTTTCAGATACAATTCTTCCACTCATTGTATCAAAATCCTTTAAAAATATATTATTAGGTAATTTTTGACCGAATCACCGGTAGATTCCGAGAAACGTGTGTACAGCTGAATGCTACTTGATTACGAGACAAGACATGTGGTAATCTTAATCTCTGCATATAAAACAATGCCAATCAGAACAGGAATTACAATTTTATCATGTCTAGTGATGTATTATCTCAAATTTCAATTTTGTATTGGCCAAGTTTAATTGTTATAAACTGTTCGTTTTCCTGCGTTTTTTCTGCGGAAGATAAACACGTTTTTATTGCAAATGTAGGGACTTTGTATGTGATGTGCTTCATTTCGATTCACTTTACACTTTATATTAATTAGCATTTCCCGCTTATTTTACGAGACAAATAGATCTGATTAATTAATTAAAATAATCTAATGTAATTGTAAATCTTAACCTCTGCATATGAAATATTGTCCCGCATACAGCATGTACAGAAAACAAATACCATTGAATTTGTAAATCATCATGTCTGGTGATATTTTATCACGAATTTAATGTTTTCATTGACCAAATTTGCAAACAGCAAAACAATCACACAAACTCCTATTGCCGCCATGACCATAACCATGAAAACACACGAGTTGCACAGTAAAGCAGTGCGCATGAAAAGGGAAGTAACTGCACGTTAAATTGGATCGCATTGTTTTTAAGTATTGTAGCATTTCACTTTGGGGGTCGTGTGTTCGAGACGCGGAATATTTAAGGATTTCTTTTTTTGAAAATGGAAATGAAAACGAAACGTGCAGCGGACATTATGATGATGCGGCGGGGCCTGAGAACCAAGAATATTTTTTTTTAGCCTAATGAAGGATTGTCAGAACTCCTTGCATATACACATCGTATGGGAGTAACAAATCTGTTATTAATTAAATTGAGGACAAAAATGAACATTTGTTTCATTTCCACACCCCAGACTGGCAACAAGCACTGGGATTGTTTCTCTGCTACACATCAACAGGGATCAAAGTGAAGAGCATATCTAACACCAATGATCAGGTCTAACTCTGTACCAACCATAAACATGATAAACATCCACAAACATCCCAATACCAACAGATTACTTCACCCTTCGCTGCATTGCTAGAGTGGGATACTTACCCCACTGACTGATTGTACAAACTTGTCAAACTCTGCCTTAGTTCTGATGTAAAATCCCACAGTACAGCTTGGATCCATCTTTGTGAAAGACAATTTCCTTGGAGAGACACAATGGAAAGACTGAAAGAAAAAACACAAATCAGCATCAGGAATCAAGCATCATTCTACGTATATAATATATGTTTTTAAGGGAAAATTTTAACACCTAGGGACAATATTCCGTTTTTAATCAACTTAATGTGAAGCTCTATATTATTCTGAAAAGAGTTATTTCCCCTGAAATGTTAAAGGGCACTGACTTAGGTGGTGTATCTTATAACTAGTGGTACTTAGATCATGTAGATTATGCTGGTTTCTGCTTAATATTAACCGCCTCCATTGTCTAGTGGAGGGAGTCTGCCCGGAGAGCGAAAGGTGAGTGGTTGGATCATCGGCCAAATCATACCAAAAGACGACAAAAGATGGTACTTTTTGTTTACCTGCCTGGCGATCGGCATTAAGGGGGAAAACAAGGACACATTGGTTCAAAGTCAGTATAATGTGTCTGAGTAGGGTATCCATATTAAACTGCAGAATGGTATCTCAGTGGGCTAGCACTATAAAACCAGCACAAGCAGTCACACATACATCACTATTAAGTCCATTAACATTGAACACAATGTTATACCCCACTTCAACCTCCCAAACCATGCATTCTACGACCATCCTGTCAACTGCCTTCTGAACTAAGGATAGGGTGGCCATGTAAGGTTTCAGAATGATGTCATCTACTCCAAGAAAGGTAAAGATACTTTAGATAGTACTCCAACAGTAAAATGACCCTGCAAGTCACTACTACCCTCCACCCACATTCCTCCCAGCACTCACCTGAACAGGGAAATCATGAGTAGTGGTATCCACAACGTCCTGGCAATAATGAGGGTCAAGGTTGATAAGCTTGTCCTCCTGCCAGCCCACGAAGTACAGGGAGTGTTTCGGCTTGCCTCCGATGATGCCGATACAGTTATCATGGGTGAGAAGACTCTTGACACAGGGAATGTAGATTGGGTTGAGGCTCTCGCCACCCAGACGCATGGGGATGAAGATGATAGCTGCTCTCTTCCATTCTCCATCCTCTGTGGCAGTTTCCTCCTCTGCCTTCTCTTCTGCCTTCTCCTCTGCCTTCCCCTCTTCCTCCTCCTCGCAAGTGCTGAGCTGACTGTTGGACTTAGGGCGAGTGAGACAGAGGTCGAAGACGTCTTGTTTGTACACTGAAATAGAGGACAAATGTTTTTACTGGCATGAATTGCAGTTGATCATCACCTGGCTTTATAGTAATTTAGACAGTGCTATTACAGCTGGCTGGTACAGTTAAGTTGTGACCATATCATCTCTACACTGTCCATTGATTTCATTAATAATTTTACACCAACATTTACACCAATAAGAAAGTCCATGGTAACAACACTTGTACATCTAGGCTCACTTGCAGAAAGCCCATAGCAACAACACTTGTACATCTAGGCTCACATGCAGAAAGCCCATAGCAACAACACTTGTACATCTAGGCTCACATGCAGATAGCCCATAGCAACAACACTTGTACATCTAGGCTCACATGCAGATAGCCCATAGCAACAACACTTGTACATCAAGGCTCACTTGCAGAAAGCCCATAGCAACAACACTTGTACATCTAGGCTCACTTGCAGAAAGCCCATAGCAACAACACTTGTACATCTAGGCTCACATGCAGATAGCCCATAGCAACAACACTTGTACATCTAGGCTCACATGCAGATAGCCCATAGCAACAACACTTGTACATCTAGGCTCACTTGCAGAAAGCCCATAGCAACAACACTTGTACATCTAGGCTCACTTGCAGAAAGCCCATAGCAACAACACTTGTACATCTAGGCTCACATGCAGATAGCCCATAGCAACAACACTTGTACATCTAGGCTCACTTGCAGGAAGGTCATAGCAACAACACTTGTACATCTAGGTCACTAGCAGAAAGCCCAGGGCAACAACACTTGTACATCTAGGTCACTTGCAGAAAGCCAAGGGCAACAACACTTGTACATCTAGGTCACTTGCAGAAAGCCCAGGGCAACAACACTTGTACATCTAGGCTCACTTGCAGAAAGCCCATAGCAACAACACTTGTACATCTAGGTCACTAGCAGAAAGCCCAGGGCAACAACATTTGTACATATAGGTCACTAGCAGAAAGCCAAGGGCAACAACACTTGTACATCTAGGTCACTAGCAGAAGACCCAGGGCAACAACACTTGTACATCTAGGTCACGTGCAGAAAGCCCAGGGCAACAACACTTGTACATCTAGGTCACTTGCAGAAAGCCAAGGGCAACAACACTTGTACATCTAGGTCACTAGCAGAAAGCCCAGGGCAACAACATTTGTACATATAGGTCACTAGCAGAAAGCCCAGGGCAACAACACTTGTACATCTAGGTCACTTGCAGAAAGCCCAGGGCAACAACACTTGTACATCTAGGTCACTTGCAGAAAGCCCAGGGCAACAACACTTGTACATCTAGGTCACTTGCAGAAAGCCCAGGGCAACAACACTTGTACATCTAGGTCACTTGCAGAAAGCCAAGGGCAACAACACTTGTACATCTAGGTCACTTGCAGAAAGCCAAGGGCAACAACACTTGTACATCTAGGTCACTTGCAGAAAGCCCAGGGCAACAACACTTGTACATCTAGGTCACTAGCAGATAGGCCAGGACAACAACACTTGTACACCTCAGCCCACTGGTAGAAAACTGAGCTGCAGCTACAATAAGTCTGCTAATGATTCTGGTATGCGAGTAGTCTCTCACAATTGTGCTACAATCACACAAGTCTTGTGCAATTGGTTCACACTACAGCTATTTTAACTCTTCCATCAGATTCCGAAATATAACATTCACTGCCTGTGCCAAATGCTTTCGAATCTACCTCCCTGAACCTCCATGAACTTGGCATTATTTCAGTATATGTTAGTACCATGAATAAGCTAATCCTGCCAGTAGTAAAGGCATTTAATCAGCTTCTGACTAGTGGCTAAAGTCACTGAATGTATTCATAATTCAATTTCTACCTGTTTACAAGCATATCTAATGTAATTTGTACCATTTCACACGCTGAATCTAGAAACAGCAAAGTCAACTTTCAAAAATCTCTTTCAAAAAAATTCTTTAACCAATAAAAATCAACAATTAAAATTCTTTGTTTCAGCCATGGTAAGCAACTGGTAAGCTGTTAAAAATCATATCTTTGTGAACTTTTAAATGACACCTGGGAATTCAACACCTTAAGCCAACAAATTCATGTTGAAAACACTGAAGTATTAATATTAGGCTGTCTGGCCCCTGCCCACATGAGGTGAAGGACGTGTACAGTGTTCAAGGACCCAGGAAGATCTGGGGTAGAATGGGTCTTCAGCAACCCATGCTTGCCTTAAAAGGTGACTTTGCTTGTCGTAAGAGGCGACTAACAGGATTGGGTGGTCAGGCTCGCTGACTTGGTTGATGCATGACACCGTATCTCAATTGCATGGATCGATGCTCATAACGTGAATCACTGGATTGTCTGGTCCAGACTCGATTATTTACAGACCGCCGTCATATAGCTGGAATATTGCTGAGTGCAGCTTTAAACAACAAACAAACAAAAACAAAACAGTGTTCAAGAGTGGCCTACCTGTACAGTCTTGTGCCACATATATACACACATCATTGAGGACTGGCAGGCTGCTATTGGCCTTGATCAGGGCATCTCTGCAACAGAAGAAATAGCAATTACACATTGATGAATATGATAAATAACTATCTAGGGGGGGCAGCCTTTAATATGTTAACTATGTTTATTCTTTGTTTTCACCATATGTATTAAAAAAACAACTTTTGTTGGCTTATTTGTTTGTTTGTTGTTTAACGCCTCACTCAGCAAAATTGCAGTTTTATGATGGTGGTCTGAAATAATTCAGTCTAAACCAGACAATCCAATGATTGACATCACGAGCATCAACGTACAGAATTGGGATACAATGACGTGCAACAACCAAGGTTTTCATGGTTATTGGCGCTCTTCCATGGCTTGTTTTAGAACAAGCAAGCACTGGCAAGCAATGGTGGCATTTTTTAATTGTAAACAATTGATAACTGGGAAATTAGTGGAGGTCAGAATTTGGGTTTATTCTTTTTCACCTTAAACATTATCAACATTATCAAGGAGATATAACCTTCCCTGACTACTGATGTGTACCTTTTTCAATAACCACAACTGATCAAGAGCAGACAGAGATAGGGTAGCTCCAAATACTGAACATGGTGCATGTGTTAATAATAATGTGTTTTATCTCACCTTATACATGAAGGTCAGATTCTCAATGGCTGAGACCCATTCTATTGTACCCCACTAACATGTACGGTAGATTTCTTTTGTTTCTTTCTCCAATTGCCGAACTGTTCGCATTACATTTGCAACATCCCAACCACATTTCTGTACCTTGAATTACTGATGTAAGATGCCATTCTCCGAATATTTACGATAGTTTCCGAATGAAATAGATCAAGGGGGAATATAACCTCTAAGTTTGTTTTCTGTTGTCTGCTAAGTGGATAAATGTCTAACTTCGATATTCTTACTGATTCGGACCAAAGCATGCATGATAAGACATACCGTATTCGATGTAATAAGAGCCCCGCTCTAATAAGCGCCCACAGCGATATTTGCTATATATTGGCTAGTGAACAATCCCAATTAGCACCCCTTCCGATTGATCAATGAACACAAGACTTATTTATTCGTGTATAATACGCACTCATGTGTTATATGTACCCTTAATTATGGGCAATTAAATTCTCGAAAATTATATCTGTCGTGTATAGTATGCACAGACTTTCCTTTCGTATCATTTAAGGCTGTCAGCATAAACCACAAAATTTATGATCTTTCAACTCAGGTTATTTTTCACCTAAATAATATTCTAATAAGAACCCCTATTTCTACTTTTGAGAGCGCCCTTGGCGCCTAATACGTCACATACGGTACCTGCAATATAATTAGGTGTGCGGTAAGATAAAACCATTGTCCACCAGTCCCTCAGATGACATGGGTGGAGACTCGTGGACAGTTTATACATGTTATAGGCCACGGTAACTACTGTGATAAGATGACCGAGCAGCCCGTCCTCACCTGAGTATGAGAGCCACCGATGATGGACCATACCAGTCTCCAGGGGACTTTCCCAGCCTCTGTCCGGCATCCACCAGCTTGTGTATGGAGAACGGAATCTGGTCCGACATCTGATCGGAAAACCAGCGGATAATCTCCTTGTAAAATGCCTTCTGCTGAGGTCTTGGCTCATGATACACTCGCCAGTCTGTAAAGTCAGAGATTGTGTGTTGGAATTATGGTGTGCAGGGTTGTTAGTACGGTGGACATAAAAATACCTCAGGATTAGAAATAATTCCAGATAGTTAATGATTATTTTCACTAATTAAAATCAAACTTGCATAAAAAAGCTGTTGAGGGTGAGATCAAACTTTTAGGTATGTTAGATGAATCCCTTGAACATGTTGAAGGCATTTTTTTCAATTCCTATACTCGTATAGTGTCTATACCTACATTGTTACATACCCAACTAACAAAATGACTAAGGGCCAACTCTCTTTGTGTTTGCAGTAAACAAGGTGAGCTGGTGCAATCTATCGATAAGTTCACACACAATTTCACCGAGATAATAATGTAAATATTATTCAATGAAATTTTGTATAAAATTGATCAAATATGTTAAAACTAGAACAGCCAGATGCAACTATGAAAACTTTTTTTCACCGGATATTTTAATAACAGTACTAGTTTGCATCCTTCAGGAATTGTTGACATGTCTTATGTTATTATGCCTTTACTTTGGAGAGAAAACATCAAAACTCACTGTCTGCACACACACCACCCTCTACATAGCTGTTTCATTTGGAAAAAGTGTACACAATACACACAAAAATATGATATCACTCAGATGTTTTATGTGATAAACAGTAAATGTGACATGGCAAGTAAAGAATTGAAGACAGAATAATTGACAAAAACGGAATAAAGTGATTTGGGCTCACTTGTTTGAACCAATGGCCCATACTTTTAAAAAATGGCCAATTAAAATAATTTTCAATGAGCCAAAGCAGATTCCCTTTGCAATCACTGCAGCAGATTGACAGATACTGACAGAGTATGCCATGGTATTGCTCCATTACAGTATACAGGGAAATGTCCAGGTTAAAGATCCAACCCATGAAGATCCGAGGTGGAATAGGTCTTCAGCAACCCATGCCTGCCATAAGCATGATAAGTGGCGACTAACAGGATCTGGTGGTCTGGCTAATTGACTTGGTTGATGAAGATCATCGTATCCCAAATGCGTGGATTGATGCTCATGACGTGAGTCACTAGATTGTCAGGGCCAGACTTAATTATTTACAGACCCCCTCATAAAGCTGGAATATTGCTGAGTGCGGTGTTAAACAACAAACAAACAGCTGAAGATCCAGGTGTCAACAAACTGTACCTACCCCTGCCCAGGAAATGTGAGACTAAAGCTTGAGCCAACATCATCTGTCCACTCCGCAGCATGCATCCCCAACCACAGTCTGTCGTCATCTTGGTGCCAGGCAAGGGAGAGAACTCTCGTCTGTAGGTGAACCACATCCGACTGGAAAAGTCTTGGTGGAACTCTTCAATGTTGGAGACCTTGATATTAGTTCTCTGATAATGCTCGCCATCTTCCTCTGAAGCAGCCAGTGTTAGAGGATACAATTTAATGAACATGTCACTTTAGAACAATCAAAGCTGGGTCATATCACTAGAAGAACAAATCAAGCAGTGCAACATTCCTTACATGGCCGAAGGACCAACCCATGAAAACTTCTCAAACGCAGGAACAAAAAAAATTCAAGAATAGATTTTTCAGGGAAAATCTGTTGCAAAATCAACAATAAACATGACAAAAGAAAGTCTTCTTTCAGTGAGTCTGTCAAGTAAAGTCTTATCAGTGCCGTAGCCAGCCGGGGCTGGCATGGGTAGCAGTTGCCTCCTCTGGATTTTTTATAGAAAACATTTTTCCTTGTGAAAGTTAACTTGAATAAGAAATGAATAATCTTATTTGCCCCCCCTGTCAAAAAAAGTTAACTACGGCCTTGCTTATTCCAACGTTCGAAATACCTGCCTGCCCGACCGTCCGAGACGGGTTGATTTCAACTCGGGCTGCAAGATTTTCAAATCCCCCTGCCCGACGGTCGGGTTATATTTCATAGGTGAAAATATTCTAAATATTTCCCGATGATAAGCATTAATTCACATGTAAAGATGAATGATGAAAGCTTTAAGACAACCTAACATTTAGCGATGCGCTTATGCTACAAGCAATCAGTTTTCATATTTTTAATTAAATTATCCTGAGAAACATATGATTATAGTGGGCAGGCAGGTTTTGGTCAGGGCTGGCAAGTATTTCAGCTAGCCAGTCCTGTGGTCTGGCTGAAATTTTTGGGAGTTTCATACCCTGCTTATTCAACACTGTTTAAAACAGAATTTCAATATTTAATTCCATGAAATATTGGAGAGAAACAGCAACATAGACATTTGCCTCTTTATGAAAACAGACATGATAACTTATGAAATTTCCACATAATATAAATCCAACTTGAAGCACAGGCTACATTACACGTAAGCCATGCAAGACGTACCACTGCTGCCTGCTCCCTCCCCTCTGCGGTGATAGCACTTGCCCAGCAGGAAGATGGGACTGTCACACTTGAAGTTTGTCTTGGTCTTCAGGGTCCAGCCTACAGGGACAGATCAGAACCAGGATGCAGTATTGGAAATTAAGCAAGAAGGTCAAGGGGTCCTCTTGATAATCCTTATGTTAAAAATTAACGATTTGGGGAATCCTTAAATGTAAACACTATAGAAACAACCTGAAAAGCACCAGGGGCCTTGCATAATTTCAAACAGTGATAATGACATATTCAAATTACTAACGATCAAGATCAAAAACCACATTGTGATGTGCATCCATAGCCATGATCATGAAGTGCATCTACAACCAAGATCGTGAAGTGCATCTACAAACATGATGTGCATCTATGACCAAGATGTGCATCTACAACCAAGATCGGGAACTGCATCTACAACCAAGATCGGGAACTGCATCTACAACCACGATGTGCATTACCAACAAAGATCGTGACGTGCATCTACAAAAATAATCGTGATGTGCATCTTTAAAAATTATCCCAATGTGCATATACCATGTATACAACCAACCATGATCTGCATCTATAACCATCTTCGTGAAACGCATCTATAACCATGATCAAGATGTGCATCCATAACCATGATAACTACAATGTGCATCAAAAATCATGATGAACATCTACAATCATTATCGTGATGTGCACTTTGTAAGATAATAACTCATTTTTTTTAAATAATAACTCATTGATTATGTTGATGTTCGCTGTGTGAGTTTGATATTTCAAGGGGTCTTTATGATGTTGATATCCCTCTATAAATTTGTTTACAAAACAGTCTCTGACAATATAAAATAAATAAATATAACTCTTTAAATTTTAAACTGAATCTCTCTCACTTAGACATATCAGGTTTGTTTGAACATGTCAACTTTATGTTGTCATAATGATGATAATACCACAAGAACGTGTAAAAGAGAGAATTAACCATTTCAAATTTTGTTTCATTATAGTATTCATATTTTGTTTGTTTGAACTGCATGTTAAGGTGAGGTGAGGTGAAATTGGGTTTAACGTCGCGTCCAAGATTATTGCACTTATATAGCGACGTGCATGCACGTGTATGTGTGTGTGTGGCTGCTTGTACTAGTCCGGACTGATGCCGATTTATAGTGCTAGCTCACTGAGATACCATGCCGCAGTTTAACATGAATACCCCACTCAGACACAGTATACTGACTCCGAGCCGACCAGTCCTTGTTTTAGCCCCTTAATGCCGAGCGCCAGACAGGGTAACAACAAGTACAATCTTTTAACGTCTTTTTGTATGACGCGGCCCGGGATCGAACCCTGGACCTTCCGCTCTCCGGGCGGACGCTCTACCACAAGACCACGGAGGCGGTCAACTGCATGTTAAGTGTTTGGGCAGCATTCAAGTCCACAATTCGATAGAAAAACTTGAAAATAATGAAACTGACTGTATTGATTGATAAGAAAAAGACTAAATCTGCGTTTTTTAATGCAATTCTGCGACAACTTACATTAGCATGATTTCGGAATCGCAGAAATCGCCTGGGACTGACAAAAGCATATTCAATATAATTCATTTTGGAAGTAGATGTAGAACATGTAGAACAAAAGGATCGATATAATGAAGAAGAATAAATGAGCATGGTTCATGAATATTGCTGTACAACATCCACCGACACATGCCAGGAAGCAGATACACATGATCACGTAGCAATTTGCAAAAATACTTTTCTGGCAAAATGCCATATAATTTTAAGGACCTCAGTCATTATGGTCACCGGAAGTGCTTGTGCATATATGTGTCATGCATATGATGTGTATTTGAAAAGAGGTTTCAAGAAATATATGATCATATAATGATAGGGCTTACAACTTATACAAGATTTGTGTGTGAAAAAATAACCCTGACAAACCATGATAACAGGGCCAGACTTCGGTTTTTCATTGATCAGATTATTCCCATTTTCTTTATGTTGTTTGTGTGTTGGTTAGTTAACACCTCACTAAGCAATCACTATGCTTGTTGTAAGAGGCAACTAACGGGATCAGGTGGGTGACTTGGTTGATGCATGTCATCGATCACAATTGCATGGATCAATGCTCATGATGATCACTGGATTGTCTGGTCCAGACTCCATTATTCACAGACCGCGATCATAAAGCTGGAATATTGCTGAGTGCAGCATTAAACATGATAAACAACAAACACGTGACAAACAGCAATATTCCAGTGGCATGATGGCTGTCTGTAAATAGTCATGTCTGGGCCACACAATCCAGTGATTGACACAATGAGCATCAATCAACACATTTGGGAATGTGGACATACATTCTTACCCGGAATCCCTATGGGTTAGATTGTTCAGACACAAGTTGGGTTTCAGTTACTTTACTATATTTTTTTATCATTGCTTCAACATGTTCCTTTTGTCCATAACAATGAAAATGATGATGAAAGTGAAACAAACAATCACAATAACATGCAATAGTTGTATCAATTCAATACAATAAACTAAATTATATTTGCAAAGGTTAGATACAAATGTTCCATCTAATCCACACATCAATTCAGAATAACGCTTTACGTAACATCACTACATTTTAGGGGAGCATACTTGATCTTACGACATGTACCAAACTTTGCATGTTTTGTGTTCACAAGCATTGAACGAATGCTTGTGTCAAACCAAGAGCAAGGTTACTGATCATGCTGATGTAACCCTATTCCATAACATTAGCTAATGACTTCCAAAGTTCTCACTGGAACCCGTCAAACAAGTCCAAGAGTTTAATATCTAATTTGAGAACATGACCATTTTGACATGTTTTGAAAGTATTTCAAATTTTCAATTCCAAGCCTGCTTACCAAATGAACATGCACACTGAGTGACTTGGGTTTTACGTTGCTTTTAGCAACAATCTCATTAAAATCAGATCTTATTTCTTGCTATCGCTAAACAAAGATCTGAGGACATCCCATTACGGGTCATGTCAGAACGACCTTTCATCCGACCAATCAAAGCGTTGCTTACCAGATCATCAAAGGGACAGTCTGAATGTGTTTTCTAATCATGCAACCTCAAAAACGTTAACATGGGGTATTCTGAACGATGGTTACGGCCCGTACGACTGATTCCGTCAAAATTATTGTCTATCTCTCACTTCCGTGGGATAACAATTGGATGGAGGAGGCATTGCACAGTATTTGGGAAGCTCTGCTATACAATCGCAAACATATATAAAACATTCCGGAATATTCGTTTGTTCAGTTTTCAAAATTTTTAATCGAGAACTGTGTCAACATATTTTTCAAGTGTAGTCTGAAATAGAAGTTGCCAGGTTTGAAACGAGTGCTGTAAAGCTCTAGAAAACTGCTTTCTAAATGGCTGATGTCGACTTCTTTTAGTCATTTCAGTGGTCAGTCAAAGTTTGCGAAAGGTGGTTCTGACGAGCACGTAATGAGATGTCCTCAGATCTTTGTTTAGCAACAGCCAGAACTTAGATCTGATTTTAATGAGATCGCTTTTAGCAATATTCCAGCAATATTATTATGTGACACCAGAAATGAGCTTCACACATTTGTACCCAAGTTGGGAATCTCACCCAGGCCTTTGGCATGACGAGTGAACACTTTAACCACTACGCCTGGCATGAGGCAATTGAAATGTAATAACTTCATACCATCATGCAAGCTGTAGGAACTAATCATAGAAACTGATGCATACCATATTTCACATTATTCCAAGCCGACAAAAACCTTGTCTTTAATTTTTCTCCTTCTCTGTCCAAATGATCCACCAAATTTTCAGATCCAAACTCCCCACCACTGCTTCCTCTTCGTCCTTGTTGGTGACCATGGATATTACTAGAAACATCGGTTTGTTGAGCATTAGTTATATTAGTGTGTGGTAAGCCTAAACGTGACTGGGCAGAGATGCCAAAATGGGTGACACTTCTTGCTTCATAAGCGCTTGTGCTCAAAGCATGAGGTCTGTATTGTTGGATATTTGGTGACTGTGATCTTGACTGTGTGATATTATTGAACCATGATGCCACCCCTCTAGGATTGGGTGTGTCAGGTTGCACATTGTTGGTCCGAGGGTGGTTAGAATACCTCATTTGACTGTGTGTATTTCGATTTATGTGAACTGGTTGACCTCCACTCCCTGGCCTATCTAAATGTCTTCGGGTAATGGGGCCAGCACCATCAGCTACGTCACAATTAATGCTAGCATCAGTGTTAACCGATGAAACCCTTTCCGTGTGGTGTTTAAACTGTTTATGAGGTTCAACATTCATAACATGAGGGGCTCGGCCACTTCCTGAAAGCCGGTTTTCGTCCGTTGCGCCTGACGTTTCAAGTGATGAGGACAAATTCAGGGCATCTGTCCATGAATCGAGTGAAGCTACGTCGTCTGATATTCTCCGATGTTGTTGACCAAGCATGGCAAATCTTTGACCAGTATCAGTCGGTAGCGGTCTCTCATAAGCCGTCATCGTTATTCGTCAACACCCAAACCAAAACACTTGGGGGCCATATTGTATCACATGACACAGTCAAATGTACAAAAGGCGAACTGAAAAGAACGAAACGTAATAAATTGCGCGGTGACCGCAATAATAGAAAAAACGAACCAAGAATGAACACCGATAAACACTAACAAATACAGTTTGAGAAATACATTTAGAATTCATATTCCTATATTAATCAATTGTATCCTCTCTAATTGTAATAGTTTACAGTTCAAGCTCGTCAACACCTTTTTTTTTTATAGCATTGCCTTTTTCCAAGGCCTTCACCTCTCAGGAATGAACAAAGATATGCCTTCTGATAGTGATACATTTGGCAGTTACAATCGAAGTTTAATAAGTTATATTATCATGATTTGACCGATTCCTGGCATTCTAATACAGACGTTTGTTATTGTATTGGTCATGTGACATTGTGGCATAAAAAATAGCTTGAATTATGACATTATGTAATCGACATTGTTGAGGTGCAGATATTAGCAAATTTGCATTTTGTAGTCTTACTTAACTTCTACTGTCAATTAAAGAAATAATATATACGTTGCTGATATCAGGGAGTATAAGACCATGTAGACCCCCTGTTGAATTTAACTTTCACAAACCCGCCGGTTAAAATGTTTTGTAAGATGCTTTCTGGGGTAGTGATTTAATGAACTTCTTTAAAGAGGCGCCCCGTGTCATATTGTGTAAGATGTGTTCTGGGGTAGTGATTGAATGGGTTTCATTAAAGAGGCGCCCGGGTGATCAGTGTACTCCTTGTTCAACTGCTCGCGAGTACACAGACCCGTGTTTTGTTTGATGCGAGACAAGTCATATTACAACGGCTGCGATTAGTTTTCCTAACCGAGACAATATCAGTGAAGAATGGAACCCCCATATTTTGAGGGTAAAATATTTACAACAAGTACAATGTTGTCCACCGTGGTAAAGACCTTTTCTCCAGCATGTTTTATAAAAAAACCTAGTTGGTTTACGACGTCAGAGTATTATTATCATGATATCACATTTACAAAAGGCTGACATAATAATTCCCTTTAAGATTCCCTAGGTTTTGAGAATGTTTATAAAGAAAAAGAGAAGTGTCAAGCAACTTATTCAAATAATGTGTGTGTGTGTGTGTGGGGCGGGGGGGGGTGTTGATGCCCTAGGCCTGTTTCAGTCATAATGAAGATGATCGGCACACAGGAACTCGATGATAGTGTGTATAGAAAAATCACACTCTTCAATACATTGTTTTCATTGTTTGTGATTGTTTTCTATGCGAATATATTATGCTACACACACTATCAGCAAGTTCCTGTAGCTCGGTAGTCTGGTCTCGGTCGTGTTGGGATTAGTGTCATGTCTGTTCGTTGTTTAAATAACGCCGCACTCAGCAATATTCCAGCTGTGGGACTTCGGTGTTTGACCAGACAATCCAGTGATTAACATCATAAGCATCGATCTGCGCAACTGGGATACGATGACATGCATCAAGGAAGTCAGTGAGTCTGACTACCCGATCCCGTCAGTCGCCTCTTACAAATATGGGCTGCTGAAGACCATTTTTTAATATAATTGAGATTTGGTATCTTCTTAATTAAGAAATTATTAACTTGTAGGTACATATACATTGTAAATATGTGAGAGTTAAAAACTTAAACAAACTCACACAGGACTGGCATTTTACGTAAACCAAGTTCCCTTTAAATTAACTGAGTACATTAATATTGAGAAACGTCGGAGTTTCACACAGAGTACGAATTACAATCTCTTGACCCTCGATGAAAATATTACGCTGAGTCCGACATTAACTTTTGAAACTGACTGACTGATATAGGAGATTTAACGTGCGCTTTCCGACTGTAGCGTATTTCGCACACGGCTTTTGAAACAATACACTATGACTATATATACACGCTGCATTGCAACGGTCGATCGTGTCATGCTGTGTCACAGTGATTAGTCACGGACTTGTGACATTGAAACGGAACGGTGACTAATTTGGTATTTTAAGACGCTTCAAATATATAGGTGTACGGCAATGAGCATTATTACACGAACAGGTCGTAAACCTGTTTACATGTGACGTCATGCATGTTGACGTCTTCAGTTCAATTTATTCCAGATAGAGAAGGAATTTCGATGTTTGCCTTTCCATGCTGATCAAGCAATCGTTGCTGAAACTATTCCACTTGTGAGAGTTACCGCCCTTTGACCGTACTGCATGCAACACCTGCTTGATCAATGCGTTCGGCAGCTGCATTAGACGTAACTTAGTATTTTTGGCTGTACTGATTGCCGCGCTAATTGCTGTGTGTTAGAAAAGATGTTTTTCATGTGTTTTTGTCGACATGATTTATACTCATGTACGTAGGTATGTGGTACCAGTACATTTTAATTATAGAATTGATTCAATCCTAGTATGTTGTGTTTTGAAAAAATGAATTTGAGTGAGATATACATACATGGAAACGCAGACATTTCATAGGAATCGGGTCAGCGGGTCAGTTCTCTTTAAATATGTACCTTTATTACAGGAATGCAACAGTTGTGTGCCTTTCTAACTATCACCCCTCTCTATATAACAGAATCTTAGAGTGGAAGTCTGATAGTAAAAATGACATGCAATTTTATTTATTTTATCAGAAATTCAGATCTCTGCGATCAAATTAATATGCAGGATGAATTATTGTTTATAATCTACTAGAATCTTTCATGTATCAAATTTTGTGAATTTCTTTACGGTTTGTTTTACACTTTGAATCAAACATAAAATTATGCAATACAATGTCATGCTTTAGCATTAGCAGAGCCTTATGAATCATTTGAATGAATTAACAAAAAATATTCTCTCCACAAGTTTAATAATAGAGTTGATATTTAATAAACGGAATTAAATAATAATAGTTCCTTGAATGACCTTATTCGGATTCAAATATTCACATCACGATGTCCCCATCTAGGCATACAGGTAGTTCCGAAAATATCAACATTTCATGACATCGATAACAATGAAAACAAACAACTTCAAAAACTGACTCAAGTTTCAACAGTTTCACATATGTGAATAGTGAGTAACTTCCACGTGCTCCTCTTGCAAAATGTGTTTGCAATACTTCCACTTGGGGGTTCAAAGTGATTACCTGGGAGAGCAGTAATAAAATAAACCACACGAGTAATCCTGGCATAGCTAAATCGCAAAATGGAGAAATTCGCCTTTCTTTGACGTGTAAGGACACCCCTTTCTTAAAATAATTAATGTAATCAATTTATTTATTATAAAATTTACAATTACTGATACCATAAAATAAAATTCCTGTGACGTCTGACATGCTACCCGGTTAACACCCTCAATGGGATTATGTTGCAACGCATGATAAATATGGCTCATCATTTGTCATATTTTAAAACGCTCTGCACATTTTGACACGCTTAAGTGTTAAAATAAGCTTTGATTAACAGTTACCGTGGTATCATATACTCTTGCGTTGATGACATATGTATATGTTATTTCCGATTCCATCGTTATGGTGGAAATACGATAGGGCTTAGGAACGAGACAATGTTATATATTTGCATTACGTCAGGGTGTAGAGGTGTGTTGTACTTTACTCCCGGGTTAATTTCATTTCAAACTGCCGAATGATTAGTGGAGTTGGTGTTGGTCAATCTTTTTCACACCCAGATTACTATAGAAGGAATGACAAGGCGATATCACTGATATACAAGGCGCCAAAGCCACATTTTTAAGGCAATAGTATATATAGCTGTGTCATTTAAGATATGATTTATTTCCAAATTATAAGAACATAATGATTCACCAATTCTACCTGAAAACTTAATGAATTAAAATATAACATTTTGTAATTAAAAACAAGGTTCCACAACTATAATGTTCAAGTATTGCTGTGTTAAAAGCAGCAATTGGTTCACCATGAGTTACTTCCCTTTGATTGTATTGCGAACGCTGATGCGATTGACAACTAAACGACTGAGCCCGATAGATCGATATAACCCACAGCCTAGGCAGTGTGTATGAGACGCGTCTCTATCGGCGACACGCAACCATAAATATGAATAGAATTTTTTTGTCATTCTTCTAGTAAGGACAGCGTTTGAGAACGCTCTTGTCTGGGCTTTAAACAACTTTAATAAAAGTGATTACATTTCCTATTGCCCATGAGAATCTACACCTACCTGCCCCCTAAATAAACCAGGCTATTTTGAAGTGTGAGATTATGAACAGTAGGACTGCTACAGAAAGCTTTTGAATACAAGATTTAACATATTTCGTGTAACATGAAAATGTCCCATCAGTGCGTTTGATAAGGATTTGTATTTTCTTTTAAAAGTGCACGTGTTTAATTTATTTATGTAACCTCACAGGCGTGTTTTGCCGAGACGTAATGTTGATAGTCGGGTGTTATCTGTGTAAATATTCACAGTTGAGTATGATGGCATATTCACCAGCTGTCGATCAGATCTGGAAACTTTTACTTACACAAAACTCGCATTCTCGAAGGAGTTTTAAACGTTCTATACCCTTAAATATGATGGTTGAGTTTCAACTGACGCCATGTCTGAACATTGCTTTCACTTTGTTTTATCCTGTAGTGTAAAACTATTATTTTTCATCAAGGTAGCCTCGTCGTGAATAGATGCAATTTTGCTGATGCGGCGTTAAGCAATAATCGACCACTCACAATAATGTTTTAGGCTATGATTAGGCTATAATAAATATATTATTAGATTTTCGTCCCCACCCGCATGGCTACCCCGTCTCACATATTTATATTTAAGTACCTACATTATACATAAAAGGAAAATCGCTACATATGTTTGCTTCTGTAGGTACTTGAGTAAATACACCATGCTTTGGACGGATTGTTTACAAATATAAAATATAAAAAACTTAAATGCCTATCCCTTCACACCTTTTTTTCCAAATAGCAAGATGGATATCTAATAATGACTAATGTGGTTTAATGTTGGTAGTTCTAATTCTAGGTCTAATTTCAACTTGCACACTTT